GCAGGCACGGATGAAACCTCAGCCGAAGAAGAAGACCGGAGGAGGATTTGACCCACAGAGAAAAGATTGCAGGTACTTCAAAAGCAAGGCGGGCATCAACATTTGCTATGCTTGGTCACGAGCAGCTGAGGGTTGCTCCAACGACCGGTGCGGCAAAGGCTGTGCCCATATCTGTGAGTGGGCGACCAATGTGCATACATGGGAGGGTTTGTGAAACCTACTGGATGGTTGAACAATGCGCCTTTCATGAGAATCGTTGAGAAAAGATGTCCGGGTAGACCATTCATGAGAATCGTTGAGAATGTTTGCCGCGCTCACAAGCTCAGAACATGGCCCCCCAGCCACTGGCAACTGATTTTGCAGAGATGCTGGAACAACTGTTTTGCGGGAATCCGTCTCCAGTTGTGAAACCCGATGTTTTAGACGAACGCCCGTGGACCATAGAGGAACTACAAGTTGCAATTAAACGGATGAAATGCAAACGCGGAGCCGATGAAGCAGGACTGGTTGCCGAATTTTTGAAGCATGCCCCTCAGGAACTTTTGGTGGCATTGCTGCGTTTGTATAATGACATTTTGTCTTGTGGCAATGTTCCAAGTGAGTGCTGCGGCGCATGACATGCCGGTTGGGTCGTGAGTTTAGACTTGTCCAAAGCATTTGATCGGGCTTCTTGGCCTTCATTATGGCAAACTTTGGCGAATCATGGGGTGTCTGCTCACCTCATTGGGATTTTGCAATCCCTTTACGACAATCAATTCGGGGAAGTGCTGGGCGATTGGAACCGAAGCCGTGAATTCATGATCGGTCTGAGTCCGCGCTTCTTTTGTTCTGTTTTGCAAATGGCGATGGCTAGCTGGAGGGCCGAGAATCCGTCTGGTGTTTTTGATTTGGGGGATGGTCGCCGTGCACTGTTAGACTTGCTGTTCGCCGATGACATTTTATTGTTTGCAAAATCTTCGTCAGAACTTGCGTCATTATTGGGCTCACTTATTTTGTCGTTCAGCCGTGTTGGTCTTCAGTTGAGTGCATTAAAAACAATCGTTTTGACCACCGAAGCGGAACCCCCACAGATGCTGAGAACTGATGGTGGCATTACGTTGAAGGTGTTGGACCGTGATGCAGGGCACAACTGGTTGGGTTGCGGTTTGTCTGCACAAGGATCGAGCGGACTAAACCAGGACATTCGCCTCCACCTCCAACAGGCAAACAAAACATTTTTTGCAAATCGATGGATTCTTTGCAACAAACATGTGTCCATATCTGCTCGCCTTCACTTCTTTCAATCCGTGGTTGGTTCGGTTGCTTGTTTCGGTGCTGGGCACAGGACTGTGCACCACCAAGATATGCAGATGATCAAAGCAGAATACGGCAAACTACTACGTACAATTGTTGGGCCTCCTGGAGGGATGTCTTGGGACCAAGAGTGGCACGAAATTCTACATTGCTGGAACGTGCGGGCTCAACGATTTGCTGATTCCTCCGGCATTGTTGCTTGGCCGACACATTATGTGGCCCGCTTACCTGATGACCGCTGGGCTCGACGAATTTTGGACTGGCGCCGCCCGGGCCGCAGGAAGTTGGGACGACCGACCCGCACTTGGGAAAGCAAATTCGAAGAGTTCTGTGGAGCGTGTGACTTGGGAGATTGGAAGCCAGTTGCGGCCGATGCGGTATTTTGGAAGAATATGACAGATGACTTCGTCGGATACTGCCTGAATCGATAAAATTGTGCAAGTCTCACAGTTTGCCGTTTCACCCCGCCTGCGCCCTAAATGGGCTGCCCCCCCTGGACATGCAGGCGCAAAGTCAAAAGTCAAAGACCATCACACATACATGAACCGTTGGTGGGGTTTACATTGGATTTCCATGGCAACAAGGTGTTCAAGACTTCATTGGCTGCAGAATGCCCTCAAGGGTTTTGCATTGAGTTGGCTAGAGCATATGTTCGAGAGCTGAAGATCGCAAAGCAGAGGCTGGACAGCTGGGAGTTGAAGTTTGAAGAAGAGGTCAGAGCCAAAGACCCCTTCTCCCGAAGAGCTCAGATCGAACAGGAGAATGAAGCATGCATTGGAGGCCTGAGAAACCCTTGGCAGTCGATGCAGGCATTGCCGAAGTGGAGAGCAGTTGGCAACGTGCTTTGGAGGATCCTTCAAGCCAGCTTGGGCCAGAGCGGGAGCTAACCTGGTTGAGACAGAAGGTAAGCCATGTCTTGGGTTGCGGACCTCATGAGCGTGGGCTCTGGGGTCCCTTGCTTGGGAAGTTGGTACTCCTGAGTGGCGACCCTGACAGTGAAGCGGCAAGCTGGCCGAGAAGAGGCACGCCCGTCGGGATTGTCAATGAGATACCTGAAGGTGGCGTCTTCCCGAAGATAGACGAGGACACCTTATGGCTCGAAGGTGATAGGCTGGATTCGTTGGCAGAACTTGATGGGGCATTGAACAACTACAAGTCCTACGAGGAAGAACTCGAGGCGGCAGATGCGTTGTTCCAGAAAGAAGTTGACAAGGGCTTTGTACATTGGTCCAAGAGCAGAGCAGAGTTGGAGAATAAGTTTGGTGTGTTGGTGCCGTCAGCCACCGGGTACATCTCCAAGATCAAGTTGGACGGACGGTCAAAGGCCGACCGGTGCATGATCTCAGACGCAGTCAAGTGAATGAGCATACCACTTTGAAGGAAAGACTAGTCTTGCCAAGGCTGAAGGACGCACTAGAAGACACACTACACTTCCTTGAAACAAGAACACCCAATGAGCGAGTGTTGTACATGAGTTTGGATTTCTCTGACGCTTTCAAACATTTGACAGTCAGAGAGAACGAATACAAGTACTTATCGGGCAGCGCGCTCGGTGGCTTTTTTGTCTACAAGACAGTATTGTTTGGCATCAAAACTGGACCCCTAGTTTGGGGGAGGATGGCAGCACTGATCGCTCGATCAACGCAGGCACTATTTCACACCAGCAGATGCCGACTACAAATCTTCGTGGGTGATCCATTGATAGTTGCCCGAACCACAACAGAACAGTTGAACAGCATTTTCAATGTCGTGTTGCTTTGGTGGCTCACATTGGGGTTGAAGGTGGCTTGGACCAAAGGAGCCATTGGTGCAGAGGCTGAGTGGATTGGAGCCAAGTTGACAGTCGATGACCAGGCAGGCTTCGTGCGAGTGTCGGTGACAGCAGCGAAGGTCGAAGAATGGAGAGTGCTCCTCCAATGGCTGGACACAAGGCCGCTGGTGGGAAAGAAGATCCTTCAGCAGTTTACTGGCAAAATGTCTTGGGCAGCAGGCTTCATCCCACAACTGAAGCCGTTCGTCAGAATGCTCTATGCGGCTATGGCCTCAAGTCCGACGAAGCTGCAAAGTTAAGGACAAGTGTACCACAAACAGATCGAGCCGGCATTGAAGTGGATACACAAGTTTCTACGGAGCTGTGGTGCAGAGGGATTGGAGCGAACAATCCACGCACATAGCAGACACCATTGCAGGCTGGACTTCTTAGTAGGCGCTTCACCATGGGGAGGCGGGGCAGTCAAGCTGAGAGCCGGCAAGCCTGTCGAGGTGTTCACCCTCCAATGAACAGCAGACGATGAAAAGAAGACTGGCGCCGTGGGAAGCTTACATGATGCTCAGGAGCCTAGTGACCTGGGATGCATTCCAGGTGAGCAGGGCTTCATCAGATCAGGGGTGACGCCCAAGGCGTGCTTGCTGCACTAGTCAAGCGGGCCGCAAAGTCGCCCCTTCTCAATCAGGTGACAAAAGAAGTGGCACTACACCTCGCTGTCCACTTCGCCTCACTAGAGGCGTTGCATTTGTGGAGCGAGCAGAACGATTGGGCAGACGCCTTATCCCGAGGTCAACTTCCCGAGGAGCTGGCTCACTTGCCTACGGTGAAGCGATCACCGGAGCTGTGGCACGAATTGTGAGAAAAGCAGTGAGGGAGGACAAGGGTCCTCGCACTGGGAAAGGGAAGGGGGCCAACCAGGAGGGAAGGTAGGGTCTGCCGAGTTATCGTCGCTCGTATCATGCAATCAGCGAGAGTCGAACGTGTCACCGTGCGAGGCTGCATCGTTGCCGAGATGGGCAACAACAGTGCGCCAGGGAGACACCTGGGAGAGAGTGACTGTCAAGAGCGACTTCGCTGTTTGCACTGTGTGGCTGTGTTGCTTTCTTGTGACAGGCAAGAGACTGTGCATGCAAGAGACTGGATATGCAAGAGACGGCGACTGTTTCCTTCACTTGCTTTGGGTTTGGGGTATGGGGGGAACCTTGGTATTTTTAATCCAGGGTACCCGTCAGTTGTTGGATTATTTTTGCTGGATTATTTTTGCTGGATTGTTTTCCTCTGACATGTGCGACGGGGTGGGGGGGGGGAGGGGGGGTTGGATTAATTTTAAGAATGGTTGTGTTCTCGCTTTTCAATAGATGCCGTGAGTGAGAGATCAGACTGCATGCCTCTAGATCGAAGCCCGGGCTTGAAAAGGAGAAAACACACGTGCGAAGATTTGTAAGTGCTTTTTTAGATGGAAGTGTTGACAGTGACTTTTCCAGCGTGTATGTTGCTGATTCAGTTTTAAGATGTCCGTATTGCACCTGATGTGACAAGCTTTGAGGAAATGACTTACCCATACAACTGAAGCAAAGGGTGTGGAACATGGATGAAAGGGCCGGTTTCTGGAGGTCACATCATTCAGGATTAAAAATGTCTATAGAAATAATCTGAGACGTGGGTCACGTGCTTGATTATTTTCAAGATAAACACTCAACCCCCCCTGGACTATAAAGAAAATTAATCCAGGGGTCCTGCACAGGGGGAGGTACCTAAGCACCCCCCATTTTGGGGTCATTTGTTGATGTTCCGCAGCTATTTTCATGAAAAGGCTCAATTCGAACCTACCACGTTCGGGGGCGGAGGCCAAGTGGCCCGGGTTGCAGATGCGACCCAAAGAGCCTGACCACCCACCACCGTGGGCACCAGCGCTAAGCCCAAGAAGGATGAAGAGAGCATGGAGAAGGATGCCTGGGCCTCATGGGGCCAAGGGGCCTCAACACGCCCAAGTTCGTCTGCAGCAAGACCAGCGCCATCCACCCCAGCGACCGCTGCTCCAGGCACACCGTTCAGAAAGACCGAACCAGTGGTCAAGCCCTACGCCACGGGGAACCGAGCCAGGGCCCAAGAGGTGGCAGAAGATCCAGAAGAGTTCAAGAGGGCGATGGAAGAATTCCAGAACGACAAGTTCGCGGCCTCGAATCAGGCCACCCATGGAGCTCGAGTGCAATGGTGGACTCATAGGGCAGCCAGCTTGGATGTGGAACCCTTCCCTCTCACAGTCGCCACGATTGACATGGCAGGAGCGTTGTTGAAGGCGGGTCAATATAGGTCAGCGGCCCAATACTTTGCTGCCTTGAAACGAGAGCACATCCTGAACAGTCATTCATGGGGAGATGACCTCACCCTGGCAGTCCGAGATGCAATCAGGTCCTGTGTGAGAGGCATTGGAGCCGACAAGCAGTGCCCTGCCCTGGACCTGAGGAAGCTGGAGCACATCAAAGAAGTCGAGGCGGTGGAAGGAGGCCCTGCCAAGACGGTCGAAACGGTCATCCTCTTTGCCTTCTTCGCATGTCGTGAGATGGAAGCCGCCTTGAGGAAGGTGAAGCATGTGCAGATCGAGGACACAAACCGGGGATGCGGGGTCGTGTCGGTGTACCTCCCCTCTTCGAAGACAGCCATTGCGAGCTTATCGCGGCCCGCTATTTCTCGATCAGCCAGCCAGCCGGCCGGCCGGCCGGCCAAGAACCACGGTCCAGCTGGCCGGCCGGCCGGCCGGCCAAGATCCACGGTCCAGCCGCGGCCGGCCAAGATCCACGCCAAGATCCACAGCCCAGCCGGCCGGCCGGCCGGCTGATCAACGACCGTCGGCTACTACTACTACTACTGCTACTACTACCACTACCACTACCACTACCACTACTACTACTACTACTACTACTACTACGACTACGACTACGACTACTACTACTACTACTACCACTACTAGTCTAGTAGTACTACTACTACTACTACTGCTACTACTACTACTACTGCTACTACTACTACTACTACTACGACTACGACTACGACTACGACGACGACGACTACTACTACTACTTGGCCGGCCGGCCGGCCGCTATGGCCAGCCGGCCGGCCGGCCGCTATTTGGCCAGCCGGCCGGCCGGCTGGTCGCGAAATAGCAGGCCGGGTTGCCCGCGCTGTCGAAGACAGACTCAAAGGGAGAGGGGGTCCTGAGGAAACTGGGTTGCTTGTGTGAACATCACCCGAACCTGTGTCCAGTGGCTGCGGCAAAGAGGCTGCTGCAGGCAGCCACGGAAAACGGAAACGTGGAAGACGACCCTCTGATAGTGACGGACAAGCCCAAGAAGACCCCCACGAAGCAAGGCATGGTGAAGGCTTTCAGACGAGTGGCTGTGGCCTTAGGACTCACAGAAGAAGAAGCGCAGGAAATCACTGGGCACATCCTACGACCAATGGGCGCTCAGCTCATGGCCAGAAAGGGAATTGAGTTCTATAAGATTCAGCTCTTCTGCAGGTGGGGCAGTGATGTGATCCTGAAATACCTGCGGGAAGTCCCGCTCGAGAACTCAGATCAATGGCTGGACCTCCTTGTCCTTTGGAGAGATTTTGACCCACTCTGCAAAGGCCCTGGAGATGCCGAATGGGCATCCGAAGTCGACGAAGATGGTAAAGGCAATCCAGAACGCGTTGGAGACGCAGAGCACACAAGTTCTCCAAGAAGCCAACCAGACCAAGCAAGAGATCGACAAGATCTTGGAAGAGCTGAGGGCGAAGTCGTTGGCCATGAATGAGAAGTGGACGGAAGAACTGTCTAGAAAGTTCTTGCCCAAATTTCTGTTGAACACACACAGCCAGACGTTTCACGCTGTGAAAGATGCATTCACCACCGGTTGCGGATTCGAGTGCAGGAACTCCCGCGATTTCAAGTTTTCTCATGAACCACCAAACCCTGATTCCGAGAGCTTTCACATGTGCGAGAAGGCAGGGTGCATCAAGCTCTTTGAAGTGGTGGCCAAGGCACTGTGAAGCCGAGGAGAGCAAAGGAATGAGTATTCGCTTTGGTTGTAAAGGGGGGTGAGGGGAGACAGTGAGCTCCACACCCAAATCCGAATGACTCGGCGGCTCACCAACCTCGACGCCGAGATGGGACTGCTGCCGAGAAGGCAGGTCATTTCAGCAACCATACGAAAACAGGGATGCGGTGGGCATGGGGTTTTCTTTTCTTTGAGTGTGAGACCACGGATGTTGTTCTGATACGTTCTCAGTTTTTTGCAGTGCAGTTCTCGATCTTGTTCCCCGGCTCCTGCTCTCAAGCACTTGCTAAGGAGTTTAAAGGATTTATGACTCTGAGATCCCTGAGGCTAAGGTGGCTCCTGGCTTCATGGGGAACATGGGGCTTTCATTCGTTGCGCCGCACTCAGCTCTTTTGTTTTCATTGCAATGTGGTTTCATGCGGTGTGTGTGTGTGTGTGTGCGTGTGTGTTTCATGTCCCCGCCGAAAGATCAAAACTTTTAGGGTTCCCTATAAATTGCAAAATGTTGACCGTCCTGCGTTTGTGGGTGGGGGGGCAAGGGGGTGTGAAATTAGCGGCGTGGGATTTGTCTGTGGCCGTGACATTCTCATTTGTGATGGAAACAGGAAAAGCAGTGCTCACCAACAACTTCTCCCCCTGCCCTTCGGCGCGACAAAAGTTCGTAAGGGGAAAATCATTGTTGTCCGTAAACCAGACAGAGCGTTTCATTGGCACACTTTGAAAAACGAAGACCAACAACGAGCATCGGAAAACAACGGCAGCCGTCTAGCGCGTCCGACGATAAAATATAGATTTATGGCGGTGTTTTTTGTCCGTGTCGATTCCATATGGGGGATCCTGTCATTTGGTGGAGCTGGCCACAGTTTCGTATGCAAAATGATCCCCGGGTGTACGGCCACGGATGGCAAGCTTGGGCCCACCCGAGAAGAGAACCGATGGGAGCTGGCAAGTGGCGATCTTTTGGGCGACTTGCAAAAAGTGGTCGGTGGCTGGTCAAGGCTGGAAGGTCTGGGAGCAGGCCTTTTGCTGGTTCCACGGAAGCTGGAAGGGAGCAGGTCTCCAGTAGGCGGATGTGGCCAACTTCGGGTGGCTAGGGCTGGTATGGCTGGGGTGGTCGTTCTATGGGGCTGCGGGGCTAATCCACTGCACCTTTATGTTCCTTTGATCCGCTGGCCTCTTGGTCTCTTAGCCCGCTGCTCCCCTGGTGCGTTCGTCTCCTAGCCCATTGGTCTCCTCATGCTTTGGTCCCCTGGTCCTTTCATCCTCTGGTCTCGTTTTTGGTCCGCTGGCCTCATGGTGCGTTGGTCTCACTTACTGAGTGCCCTTCCTTGATAAGGCGGCGTGTAATTTTGATGGTGGAGCGCCACGAAACCTGCACTTCTTTTGGCACTGAGTAGGGCCTACAACGACAGAGTTTGTAAAAGTCACTCACCAAAATACGCCGTTTTGGTTGAAGTTGTGTTTCAAGCGGTTGGACGCATCCTTCGAGTGTCCTGTGGTGAATGGGCCCCCCGTTGATGGTCTTAGGGCAATAGGATGTTTAAACATTTTCGGAGATGATGTAATTTGTGTGGTCTCTTCAGCGTCTGGTGGCCTTTGTAGTTTGCAACCCCGCGTCGGCGCCACGAAATCAGCACTACTTTGGCCAATGCACTGTGCCTGTCACGACCGACTTTTTGTAAATCCCATCGCGTATCCACGCCAACCAAGTATTGCACACCCTCGCCCAAACCTTGATTATTTGTTGCAATCATCCTTTCTTGATCCTTTGGTCGCCCGCCCTGTTGCTGTTGTCCTTTCCCTCGTCTCCTTCCTTCTCGGTTCGTTATTCACTCGGAATGTTTAATCACGAAAGGTAGCTTGAGCTACCTGAGTTCTCCTTGCTTTAGCAAAAATGTATTACAATCAGGAGTTGGGATTGTGCATCGAGTTTGGTCCTGTAAGAGTTGATTCTGTTCGTCGGGGGGGTGGGCCCCCCCCCTTGGATCAAATCCCCCCTGCGCCGGTTCACGCCGTCATGGACTTTTACCAGGGTTGCTTGTAATTGCCTGCTACCTTTCGTTCACCCCCTCCTCTCTCAAGTGTTGATCCATTTGTTCTTTTTAGCTGCCGTTTAAAATGTTTATTCATGCTGTACCTTATTTTGGGGGGATCCCTCACCCACAGGCGACACCTGGCTCTAGCAAAGGGAACTGCAGCAAGCAAGCGCTTGATCTGCAGCTAACTTGGCCACATGAAATCCATTAAATTGTTAGTCCGAGTTCCGCCATTGTGGGTGGTGTTTCATCAAACACCCTTGCTTCAACACATGGTGTTTGTGAAAAGTTGCGCAGGGCTGTCCACACATGTGCGTTCCGAAATTGATGCCACAAGTGAATTGCCTTCCAAGTTCGGACTTCTTGACAATGAACTTTCCAACTATGAATACTCAAAGTGCACATCGTCTACCACTGGTTTCATACAAAGGCGAGGCAACGCCATGATCGTCCAAAGCAGGCATCCAACCTTTTCACCTCTTCGTTGGTGGGGGTGATTTTTGTGTGATTACTATGCCTATGATGCGACTGAGACAGTGACAGTAACTGATACCATGAAAAACTATGAAAAACACCAGAGGTCCGGCAGTCCTTTTGGGCGGTTTAATCAAAAGTTGAAGTCGTGGCGGTGTCGCGTTTGGTTGGGGGAAAAAAACGGCAGCAGCGTCACCCTCTCGTGAACCCTTGTTCCGATACCTCTTTGCAACTTGCGTGGCTTAAGTAAAGTACAAAGAACCTGGTCCAAAGAGATGTCAAGGGACCATGAGGAGATGAACATCATTGCTAAACCACTGCGTTTCCACGCCAGGAGCTTGTTGTGAAGACATGATAATTGTGCTAGGAAAGGAACTTCAGAACACATCAAAAAACATTGCCAAGTCATTGCGTTTCCATGCGGGGAGCTCGTATTTGCAAGGACTATCCATGGGGGAACGCAAATTTCTCCTACTATGCCGTGACTTCTGCGGCTGAGTGTATTGTTTCAGTGACCGGTTTGCATCAAACTACGTCAGTCATATGTCCATGTTCATCATCCATTCTTGGTTGATCGAATAGCCTCAGGCATCCTCGTATAGGCCATCAATGATAAATTTGTCCTAACTGTGATGTGGTATTTGTCACTTGCCGGTCTGCTTGGTCAACTGCACGTGGCGCTTCATCACCTATTTTTCAGTGTGCTTTTGTTGGTGAATCACGCAGTGTGCCCGCAGGGGTTGGATCAAGTCAGGCCACACCTTATAGCATAATTGCCAATGATGCATTTTGCTAAATTCTGCAGGGCCTTGGCGAGGGGCACTCGCCAAGTTAGAAATTTTGCTGATCATCATGGCGCTCCTATGCCTGATCAATTGCGGGCCCACGCTTTACAAAATGCAGTGCCCATGGTTGGTTTTGGCATTGTAGATTGCGTGGTGATGACCCAGGTAGGGTCAACAATGGATGCTGTCCTAGGGGCAACTCTTGGCATTTCTTCCATCACTGCAGCAGCCATTGGGTTGTTTTGCAGTGACTCATGTGGTGTCCTTTTCGGCGGCACCATAGAATCTTTTGCCGGGAAACTAGGCCTGCCTGCCGCTCATTTGAAGGTTGAACAACTAGATTTGCCAGTGACCAAAAAATGGGGAACAATGGGAAGGCTGTTTGGTGTGCAGCTTGGCGTTTTGCTTGGTAGCACAACATTGCTGCTGAAAACAGATGACGCAAAATCGCAAGGCAAAACCGACGACGCAATGCATGGAGCTGAACCAACTTCGGGAGCGTCCTTCGAGACATTGATCAGCACAGATACCCACAGGACTTCCGATGTCGTGGTTTTCGCCAATCCAGGTTGTCCCTCTGGCCGCGCAGTGGTCGACACACTATTGAACCACCAGGCCAGCTTTGTGGTGGCACCGCTGGAGGGTCACCTTGCCGAAGTAAAGAAGGCCACTGGAGCAGCAGCATCGCCCTCTATTTGGGTTCATGGCAGGTATGTAGGCAACACCTTGCATGGCAGTGCCGTTTCAGATTTGTTTGCGAGCAAAGAGTGCTGAGCAGCTAAAAAAGGGACGAAAACTGAAAGGCTGAAGTTCAGACGGATGACATTCTCCATGTTCATGACTCTTGCTGTAGTTGTGATTCGGGTCAGTTTTTTTAGCTTTTGGCATCCTCATCATAAATGTGTTTCTGTTGGTATCCGCTGAAACGAATCTTTATTCATTTGTTATTGATTTGAGTTGTTGAATCGTTGAATTACTTTTGTTCTTGCATGATCGCAGTTGGCTCTCAAGCCGCCAGCCAAGCATCGCCATTCCAAGCTGCACAAAAAGGACCCCGCAGCCAAGATGACCTCAGCACGATGGGGCAAAAAGTGGGCGGACCTCGATGATGAGGAAGAGACGGCTATGCAGAATACAGATGGGCGGTTCGAAACAGCAGCCGACAAGGATGGAATCAGAACCATCATGGAGTACGTCGACAAGGCTGGGGTGACCTACAGGGTGACCAAGAAGGTCAAGGAAACCGTCACGACAAAATGGACCAATCGATCGATGCAGGCTCGGAAAAACCTGCAAAAATTTGGCAAAGCTGCAACAAATCCTGAAGCCGACGAGAAAACCTTGTGCATGAAGAGCGTTGAAGAAATTCAGATTGAATCTGCAAAAAAGATCCATGTGGATCTCTCGCAGAAAGACGACGCCGAAGAGAAGTTTTTTGAGGAGAGCCTGACCATCACGGAGAGCCTCTTGAAGGAGAAGAAGGTCTGGACAGACCTAAACAAGGAATCAAAGGAGGTTGGCATTGGAGAGGATGACAAGAAAGAAACAGCAGAGGCAACCACGGCGCCAGCAACAGGAGCGCCTGGTAAATACGTCCCACCAAGTTTGCGAAATGCAGGTGATGGGAAGGGCAAAGGGAAAGGTAAAGTAGGTGAGTACCAGGGCCAGCAGGACGCAACTTTGCGGGTCTTCAACTTGTCGGATGATGTGAAGGAAGGTGATTTGCAGGACCTCTTTGGACAGTGTGGCCGGCTTCAGCGTGTCTTTTTGGCCAAAGACATGAACACCTTTCAATCCAAGGGTTTTGCCTTCATCACATACTACAATAGAGAAGATGCCCAGAGGGCTATCGATCGCCTCAATGGGCATGGCTATGACAATCTCATCATGAAGGTGGAGTGGGCCAAACCCCGAAACTGAGAACTGAGTGCATCCTGAGTGCGTTGGAGCCATCTGCGGAGTGTAAGTCGAGCCAGCATGCAAGTTGAAACTATGAAGAGTTGCACCCCTTCGTAACGACCAACCACCCTATCAAACCAATTGCAGTTTGCACCAGATAGGGCACACCGATCACGACGCCTTAGAACCGCTGGCCCGCAATTCCTGTAAGATTTCCGCATGCTTGCAAAAGCAGTGCACAAGACGCTGGCCCAATCAGGTCTCAGGATTTTGCCATGTGGACCACGGACTTCCAAAGATGCGCCTTTCTTGTCCGACACGACTCCCGATTTAGAAGCTGTCGTGGTGTGTGTGTGTGTGTGAGTGTGTTGGGTTTTGCCAATTGTCAGGTTGCATGGTATTTCTTCAATTGTTTTCACAGTTCGTCTCAGTGTGTTGCATTTCTACAAGAAGTGGTTTTTGTATGTTTTTGTATTGGGTTGTTTTTCAGTGAGGCTGTCAGTCTTTGGCGTGCATGCAACTGTGACATCGACTGTGCATTTTGTTTGACACGTGTGCCGTAGCCACTAGCTGAAACAAAAAGGGTTTGGCATGCCAGCGCCTGGGAAAGGAGGCAAGGGCAAAGCGGGAAAGGGCAAAGCCAAAGCTTGGGGCAAAGGATCGGATGGCAGCACGGCTGCCAACGCAACCTATCATTGCCCAAGGGGTCGCCCAGAAGCCTCTTCGTGCAGGTTCTTCGGTAGCGCCAAAGGTTGCATGAATGACAAGTGCCCTTTTGAACACAACGATCCGAATGGCATTCAGTTCTGCTCCTTCCAACAGCGCGGCCAGTGTGAAAAGGGGGCAGCTTGCACTTTCAGACACCAAGTTTGGTCCAGCGCCGAGGAAGCAAAAACATTCTACGCTGCAAGAGAAGCAGGGGAGGTGGAGAAGAGCTCAATGAGATACAAGCAAGTGCGCCGTGAAATTACAAGAGACGGAGCACAGAAACCAGAGACACAGCTTGGTTCAGAGCATGTAGAGCTAGAGGGTGAGATCGAGAAAGACTTCCAAGAAGAGACCTATGGCTCAAATGCGATGCGGATGATGGAAAAGATGGGCTACAAAGCAGGAATGGGCTTGGGAAAAGAAAACCAAGGCCGCACATCTTTGCTGGGTTCCTGTGTTGCATTGGAACATGCGAACATGGACACATCGAACTTGGGCTTGTCGCACTATGCTGGCGCGGGCCGGGCCACTGCTGCAGAGAGGGCAGCCAGGCTCGCTGACGCTCGAGCGAAAAAGTGCCAAAGACTGGACGAGACAAGCTTCGTTCACCACAACCTTCTCAGCAGTGATGAAAGCAGTGAAGGAGAAGCAGAGATGATCAAATCTAGAAGTGTGAAGCTCTCGTGAGGTGAAAAAGTGTGCGTTTGGTGATGTGTGACTGTTGCAACTTTGCAACCGCACCAGCCACGTTTGCAAACCAGATGAGCTTTAGTAACTTTGATGTTTACCTTGCTCCCACAGCTGGCCCAAAACACACGTGCAGACCAAGAGCGCCCAAGAAGTCGCCCAAGAATGCAGAGAAGTCAGTTTCAATATGAAGCACAATCCCCTCTCACATAATTATATAGTCATTTAGTCGGCCGATGCAGGTGGTTGCTGTTGAAGGCTTTCGATTTGTCAGGCTAGGATGCATCCAACTCCAGCAATGTCGCATAATTTTGCTGCAAGGTGACCTACCACAGCTAGATGATTCACGTCACGTTCTTTGTTTCGGCGAAGCTGATGAAGCCAAAGTGCATGTGAGTTTTATCAAGGTATAAAGATGCGAGGCGCCCATTGACTTTGCATTGTTGTGCTGACCAGACGCCAGAATCTGACACTCTTGACACTTTCAGCTACTCCTTTTCAAAATCAGCCAACGTCCAAAGTTGATCCAACAGAGAGTGTAGCCGTGTAGCGAGTATATAATGGTTATATATATATACACATATAGATTGAAAAAGGACACCAAGTATATATATACATATGATATATATATATACTACATCGAGCGAGAGAGTACCTCAGATTGTTGAGACCAACAGATTTGGGTTCAAGCCGATGAATGGCGGGGCGGGGCGGATGGAGCATGGCACCTAATTTTAGTTGGTTCGAATCATGCGTTCTTGGTGTCGCACTGATGGAGCTGTCGCTTTTCCACCACCTGGATCACTTGGAGTCATCGAGATATGAACCCGAGGTTGAGTAGATTTGAAGCAGCACATGGCAGATGAGCCAGCAGAACTGGCTTTGTAGACGTCTCAGGTGTTTTTTGAAGTTTTTGGCTTGCCTCCGCCATGCTCAGAGGACAGAAGTAGAAGAGAAAAGCAAGGAAGAGGAGGACGAGGGCAGTGAGGTCAGGGACGAGAAAGATGAGGCCCGGACAGGATGAAGGCAAGTGAAGCAGTGAAGTGCAGCAAAATGCTAAGGGCGAGGTGAGGCATCACCGCACTGGCCGCTCCTAGTGCTGCCATCCGCTCAGGCAAAGCCGAAATTCCAGTCCCCGGCAGATCCTCGGCACTTAGAAGCCTTGTCCAACCGCTACCCCGCATGTGACTTGATGGAATGGAGAGAGGGAGATAGAGAGAGAGAGAGAGAGAAAAAAAAATGCACAAATTAACGTAAAGCATGTGTATGACTAACAAAGAATGCATGACAGCATCACAAAGGGCACAAAGTAAAACTGTGCGCAGTATGACGCCTCAGCGGGGCCCCTGCGCCTGCAGGTTGCAGAATTGAAGCTGCAGAGCACAGGGCGATTTCTTTTGCACAATTGCAAGATGTAGTGCTCGGTCCTGAGTGTCCGTGCTGAGAACTTGCGACTATGCACCTAGTTTTGCCTCTCTCGTTCGTCTGAGGAACTATTCTCTGACAAGCAGCACTTGTTGGGACCTTGACACGCCACATGGGCCATGGGCGTTGACCCATTACGATATCATGAAATGGCTTGTGACGCCTTCCACGCAGGCTCACCAATGCTCATTTACCGAACTCGTCGCAGCTGGTGCCCAGTCAGCCGAAGTTTATGTGAGCCACTGCTTTGGGCAACCAGCACGAGATATGCTGGAATGCCTCCAGCAGCAATCAAGAACTCGTTTGCTTGGCGATGCATTCTTTTGGATTTGGGCCTATGCACATCAACACGGTCAGAGCTTTGTGCCAGAGAGTTTGCATGACTCAGATGCCTTCCAGGTGGCCTAATCAAACATGCGAATGTGAGAACGGACGTTTTCTTCGTCAAGCTGGCTACTGTGTACTGGTGTCTTTTAGCATTGGAAGTCTTCGGGTAAGGCTATATTGTGCTGATCTTGGGCTTACAAGAGCGCATATGCGGAATGTGGAGCTTTAGGATGTTGTAGGACATGAAGTTCAGACAGTTTGGTGGGGTCAAACACGGATTTGCAGCCAAGCAGGGTCTCCTGATTCAAAGTGATGGGCTCAACTTGACCCGAGTGATCACACTGATTGATTTCGGAATGTGGGAGAATTTGATCACATTCGTACGCAGTGTTGGGACGAAGAAGTGGAAGTGCAGTTTTCTTGCTGAAAGGATGAAACTCGGTTTGTTTTGTGGGTGGTGATTTGACAAAGGGGTTGCTGCACAATGCAGACCAATGCAGTCGTTTGAAAGGTCTGCGGAATTCTACAGTATTCGCGCTTTTTGTTCCTCCTTTGTACTCCTGTGCTTCTTCTGACGTCTCCGTGCTTGTTGATGCTGAGAACACAAGCTTGGCAGTCTTGACAGCCAATTCACATACAATCATGCAATAGTTGGCCCACGGCTGATAGACGGCCGTGGTGTTTCTTGCATTTTTCTTGATTTTTCGTTTTCTACGCTGTCGTTTTTGTATGTTTGCTTGAGGGGGATGTGGACGCTATGTGTGGGAATGGGGTGGGGGGTGGGGTGGGGTGGGGCATGTTAACGTTCGGTTGCACTTGCTGCATGAAGTTGATGCTACGTGTGGGAAAGGGGTGGGGTGCGGTGGGGTGGGGCATGTTAACGTTCGGTTGCACTTGCTGCATGAAGTTGATGCCACGTGTGGGAATGGGGTGGGGTGGGGTGGGGCATGTTACGTTCGGTTGCACTTGCTGCATGAAGTTGATGCTACGTGTGGGAATGGGGTGGGGTGGGGTGGGGCATGTTAACGTTCGGTTGCACTTCCTGCATGAAGTTGATGCTACGTGTTCATGCAACCTTTTTTTTAAAGTGTGTGTGTGTCACCCCCTGTACCAAAGGGTTCAATGCCACTGTTTCCACCACCACTACTCCATAAGGCAGGGGGGGCCAGGCCTGTCACATCCAACCTGGCCCAACGAAGCTGGGATGTGACAGGGGAAGCACCAGAGGACGCTTTGGTGTGTACCTGCCACACAACTTTTGCACAAGCTGTCCACCCTACTTTTCCACGGTTTGATTCATGGTTCTTTCACGTTTCTTACCCCTTAAACAGGTTTTCCCACAGCCGCCTTTCAGCTGCCGTCCGCCGCTCGTCCGCTGCTGTCGCGAGTCTGCAGATGCGCACAAACCTTTTGTTGAAAACACCTTCAATTTGATCGGACTCTTCACCTTGCCGTTGAGCCACTCCTTTTCTCGGGGAAATTGAGTTTAACTGAAAACCAATGTCAGAGTGTGTTTCGCTCAGCCGTCCCACTCGGGTGCTGAGTGTGATCCCCGTCACTGGGGCGCTGAATTCATGCCGGAAATCGTGTAACTGAGCTTTTCCACCTTCACCGGAATTCACCACTGGATCAACCTCAACTGAATTTACTGCCTCCACGGCCGCCGGGCCAAAAAACGGGATTTGACAAGCCGCCGGGCTTAAAAACGGCATTCGTCCCCCTTCAGGCAGCTCTCCCAACACCCCCCCCACCGCGTTCTTATCCCGACCTAATTATCTTTGTTGTCCCTGTTCTAGTCTTTCCTACCCGGGCGGTCTAAGACTAAAGTCCCGCTCCCTAACTATTGCATTTAATTCATTTCTGCTAAGTAATCAGTAACTCTAGAGTGCTAGGTATTCAGACACACACATGTACACACACATGAACATACACCCCCTCCCTGCCCCCCGCTTTCCTTCTTGCGCTTTTCGTCGTTTGTTGGGCTTTCTCTCAGGCTTTTTAGGTTGCTCTTGAGGCTCGTTTCCCTACCCCAGTCAAGGGCTAAGTATTCACTTTTTCTACACCTACCTTTCCTTCTTGCCCTCTTAACGCTGCTCTTTCTGTCTTTCCTTTCTTTTGTTTCTAAGGCTTTTTAGGTGACTATTGAGGTGTTTCACACGAGCGCCGCGAAGCGGCACCGTGTGTGTGTCACCCCCTGTACCAAAGGGTTCAATGCCACTGTTTCCACCACCACTACTCCATAAGGCAGGGGGGCCAGGCCTGTCACATCCAACCTGGCCCAACGAAGCTGGGATGTGACAGGGGAAGCACCAGAGGACGCTTTGGTGTGTACCTGCCACACAACTTTTGCACAAGCTGTCCACCCATCCCCCGTACATGAGGCTCTATGAAATGACAATCACTTTCCTCTATGAAATGGGTTTTGGACACCCATTTTATATAGAATATGTGGTTTCAGATTTCCAGAATATATTTGAACATCACAGGAGATCATTTTATAGAGGGCTGCTTGAGCAAGTATGTACTTCAGATGGGATTGTGTGCAAGGATGCAGGAAAGGCATTCTATAGAGCGAGCAGGGGGATCATATTGTTGTATGTTGTTAAGATCAAGATGTCAAGGGGATCATTCTATAGAACTTCATCTTATATATTTTTTGTTTGTGATATGTTTTATATTTGTTTTCACATGCTGGTAATCATTTTATATAAATACAAGGCTTGTCATGTTATAGACAACTTATCCCAGGCAACTCATTCTATAGACAGAATTTGTCTATGAAATGTAATGTAAGACACCCAAGGGAAAATGTACGGGGGATGTCCACCCTACTTTTCCACGGTTTGATTCATGGTTCTTTCACGTTTCTTACCCCTTAAACAGGTTTTCCCACAGCCGCCTTTCAGCTGCCGTCCGCCGCTCGTCCGCTGCTGTCGCGAGTCTGCAGATGCGCACAAACCTTTTGTTGAAAACACCTTCAATTTGATCGGACTCTTCACCTTGCCGTTGAGCCACTCCTTTTTGTCGGGAAATTGAGTTTAACTGAAAACCAATGTCAGAGTGTGTGTCACACCCCGTATGGCGTAGGTCTTGGGAGCATTCATTGAATTGTGCACGCTTGGAGGAGCTCTTGTGAAGATTGAAAAAGTCGCAACTTTTTCCGACGGCCCAATTAGTTACGTAGTTTCGAAAATGCTTCGAAATCAGCATTTCGCCTCAGCGAAACTCTCATTTCAGGAAAAAGCTGCTTGGAATTGACCATGATTCCACTGATGAAACGTTGGGCACATCATTCCTAATGGAAATGCGCGCATTTCGACATGATTAACCCACGGCCATCATTGATTTACACCATGGCCGTCTATCCGCCGTGGACCTAGTTGGGCATAGTTTCTAGTTAGTTGTAGAGTGGTTTTGGGTTGGACACGGTTCATGTTGCCCCGCAACCTGCACTAGCTCCAAGTAAGACAACGCTGATTGGCTCCTCTAGCCAAAGCTTGCACAGCACGCCCGAGACAATAATGCGAACAGCTATGGCAGAAGACGTCAGTATATATGAGTTTTGAGTTGTTCTGCAATCTCGCTTGCAGGCAATGAAGGCCTCTCAATGGGTTCTTCTGCCATTGGGCATGAGTTCCCTCTTCAGCAGAACTTGGTGCCTGGCCTGGAGTTGCTTGTGGTTGCTTCTTGTCACATCCTTGAAACCAATCTCTCCGGGAGGTTGTTTGCAGAGTTTGTTTTGTTGGTTTGCAGGTGCTTGATAGAAGTTACGCTGGCTGTTGTGGAGCTGCAGAAACCATTGGACATGGATTCTTGGCAAAGTTGAGACTCTAGCAGCTTGAGATTGTTGCTCAGTCTCGGTGACTTCGCCCCGATCCATAGCTGAATCGTCTATTGTGCTGTCAGGTAGCCTTTGCATTGGAGGGCCCCGTTGTTTTGACGCAGAGCCTCACAGAAGTTGAATGCAGAATGGAAAGCAAACTGCAAGGAACAGGCTTTCGTGAGAAGAACAGAAGGGAAGAGACGTTTCCAGCAGCTACCTGGCAGCATTTCACCGGCATTGCTGAATTTGGCACTAAATCTGCACAACTGGCGTGCACACATCAAACACATGCCGAAAACCATCGAAAACCTTTTCGCAGGAAGTTATAGACACTAGTTACCCGGGACCTTCATGTACATGCGAATTGATTTGACAAAGGTTGCATGCATGTGCATGCATGTGCGTCCTCAGGACGTTTTGACCGCTGCGCTTGACATTGCAATTGAGAGATCAGACGCCGTGAGCAAGATGGACCGGAACCGTTTGCTGCACAAGCTCCTAGAAGAACAAGGTGTGGACCTTGCGGCTGTGGCCTTGAATCGGTATTTTGCATCTTGTCAAAACCCAATGCACATACGTAGATGGATGTGGACTGAACGTGCATGTACAGGGCAGTTATGTTTCTTTTCGACATGTCTTAGGAAAGGGTGAATGTGAAGCTTCGTGGCCTTTTCGCCTCCATGATGTGGCTGCCCATGGTTGAATCCGAGAAGCTTCCGCGAAATGCACTGGCCGAATGCGTGAAAGCTAACGTATCAAACGACTCCTTGATCGTTAACTTATGCGCGTCCAAGGTGGACGATGCTCATTTGTCACTGCTAGCAGGATCCATGCACAATCATCTCTCTCGAGTGGACCTGAACTTTTGCATGTGCTCCAAACTCACTGGAAAGGGAGTCGAGGACTTGTGCAGGCATATGCCTCAAAAGCTGAAGACTCTGAAGCTAAACTTCAAGCAGCTTGGACAAAAATTAGAAACGAGCCAGAAGTCAATTCCTTTTGACACTTGCGGCCACTCTGATGGCTGTTGCGCCATAGGATCAGATATATATTTTGGGTTCACACTAGTAGGACGTGTTTACGGGCATCCGCTTTCCGCTTAACAAGCTCCGATTTACTTGGAGCCTCTCACTCATTCAACCCCAACCTGGTAGGCCTACAGGTCATGGCCTCAACATGGAGCAACATAATACCTGACAACTTGTCACCCTGAAGTGTACGATGCCGCAATGCCTGACATGTGTTCTATGGACTTTGCTGCCTTTCAAAGCACCCGTGCTTTGATTGACCTTGTTGGTGCCCCCCACGGCTCGTATCCCATTTTGACCGTACTTTCCTTGGCATGGATTCTTACACTCAGGACCTGAATGTTGGTCCTTTCTTCGCTCTGTGGGATTTCTTTTCAGCCTGCTGCTACTGCAGGCATTGTGAAGAGTTATGGCTTTTAAGGCCATCTAGCTTTTCACAACTGCCGTGCTGACGGTCTACTGAAATAGGATCATGTGGGTTTGAAGAGGCTCTGGGCATTGCGCAAAAGCCGCAGCAATGGTGCGGCTGTCGTTCTACAAGCAACAGGTATATTGTACATGAATCTAATCAGGAAGCTTCCTTTTTTCTTTGCTTTACGGCCAGGGCCACTTGCCCATGGTTGGTAGGATTTGTTCGGTACCGAAATGGCCACGGCATGGCAATTAGAACAAGGATGAGGACTTTGGTAGCCTTGACATGGATCCCAAAGTCTATGGCTGCCATGTATGTTGCTCTTGGAGCTGGGACTGTGCAGCTTGTTCTGAGGCTTTGCTCTGGCGTGGGTCAAGGTGGCATCGACGCCTTGGCTTCCTTCCCTGTAAGCCTCACCTCCTTACACTTGAACTTTAGCTGCAACTCCGAGATTAGGAGCTTGGCAAGCATTTGCCAAAGCATCAGAGGATTGGCGCAAAGTTCCTTGAAGCGCCTGGGAGATGTTTGTGTCAACTCTTGTTTGTGTGGCTCTTGGACGGGAGGCCTTCTTGTAGCATCAAAACCGAAATCTCCCGGACACATACACACACAAGCACACCACCAACAACGGAAAGCACCCTGCATGGCAAACATTGTTCTTTGATTCTTTGGTTTCTTATGTGTGGACTTGAAAGTTGATTGGCGACTGTAATAGGAGCCAGGAGGGTTGCTGGCAGCTTCACATGATTTTCCTGCCTGATTGACATCAGGCTGTTGGACTTGGATGTATCTGCAGTGGAGAAGATCAATGACAAGAGCTTGATTTTGTTGGCGGAAACGTTGGAGCTCAGCAGATTGAGAAACATATTCTTGTCATTCCGTTCATGCAGAGCCCTGAGTGATGTGGGGGTAGAAGCAGTTGCTGGCGCACTCCCCCCCCAGTGTCACACTCCTCAAGCTGGATTTTGCAGACTGTGATATTTCAGATGTGAGCTTGGATGCTTTGTCCAGTCAACTTTCACATTTCCAAGAGATTGGCGTGATCCAAGTGAATTTGCAAGGCTGCCAGGTCACAGAAACATCTGTCGCTCGTTTTGTTTCAAAACTTCCCAGGAGTCTTCGCGGTGCAAAACTCAACTTGAGTGGCACACCTTTGCCACAGGAAATTCAGAAGATTTGTCGACGATTGCCAACGATGAGGTCTTGGGTTCCATCAAAGCCCAGCGCAAATGCCTTCAGCTCAACACAAACCTGCAACAATTCAGCTCAAGAGCAAAGGAGCGGCCTCGCATTGGAAAGCATTGATTTATTCCTACACCGGGGCCAGGTCCAAAGTGTTTCGCTTCCTGCTGTCAAAGCCATCAGGGGGCATAAACTTTCTTGGCTAGAGACCATGTACCCCTCGGCTACGGATGAGGAAATGAAGCGTCTCAGCCGTGCTTTTAGTGAGCCACACGTGCGACAGTTTAAGGCTTTGTTGCCCAAAGTGGCAAGCCTTACGCGTGGAGGATCGAGTGTTAACTCGGCAAGGCCGGAGTGTATGTACTCGAGACCTCGAACATCGTACAACGGCTTTTCAGAACCAATTTGGTACCCGTGAATGACATATCCTGAGAGTCTGGGCCTTGAAGAGGTCAGGCTTATGCAGGCTTTCAACTTGGAGAAAAGGGGCGCTAACTGAGCTTATTGGAAGTATGCCAAAACATATCAAGACTCAGCAGCCACACTTTTGGGGGGATGGAAGTCCAGGACTTGGGCTTTGTCCAGACTTTTTGGCTGAAAAGGCCACAAGCACAGATTCGTCTAAACTTTCTCAACAACAATATCGATCAAAATCGCCCCATGGGTAGCCCTTTTGCTTGTTCGGTGCGAGAGCTGCCTTTGACTCGGGGTCATTGGTTCTGCTTCTGCTCCAGGATGCCTTAGCACTTTGCTTGGACGGCTCACCCACCAGGAGGATGCTTCATTGAGCCCGGTTCCAGCACAGGTGCCCAGAAACGGATCGTGCACTTTCAAGGGGGAGGTTAGTGCACCAGTTTCGAAGGGTGCCATGCATGCCCAGAGGCTTCATGGGGCAGCAGTACTACTGTATGTCGGCAGCTTGCTAGGAAACTCTTTTGCCTTTTGCTGCATGTCGAACAAGGCTGACATCAACACGGACATGCGCTAATTGGAATAAGGTTTGGGCGTTCTATTGCGACGGCAGCAGCCGAGCTGGCAATGTGGACAGCTGAGAGGAGCTATATACAGACTTCGTTGTCACAGGGGAAACTGCTGCTGGTCTCAGCTGAGTTGCACTTTGACTTCACCCGTGCTCGCTTCCCTGGGTCTTCGAGGAAATGAAGGAATATGGTCGATTCTCCGTCCCTGAGCAAAGGTTGCCTTGCTTCCAGGCATGGCGCTGCTTCTTGGCCTCAAACATGTTGCCTGTGCAGACGCCATTCTTTATCCTCCACTCACACTATGACTCTTGACAAATGATGCAGACGCTCCAGTTCCAAACGAACTGTGCCATCGAGGGTACCTGCACTGAAGCGGAACACACTTTGCAGCACACCCTGCGCGATGCCGGCACAGCTGCGTCGGCCACTGCGGGCTTGCGCTCAACGATTTGGACGCAGCCCGTCGTGAAGGGCACCAGCCTGCGCGATGCCTACTATGCCCGGTGGGGCCCAGGTCGCGATACTCGATGGCATATCTCCCGACACCATCGGGAAAACATCGGGGTCCGCAGTTGCGGAAGCCTACAAGATCGTTGCCACATGCAACTCGGACTCCAATGGCGAAGGATTCCCAGATGCTCGCACAGCACTACTTGAGGCAAATGACATTCATGGGCCGATCGACCCCATTCGGACCGTACTTGGACAAGAACGGCATGAACATGGCCGTGCTTGAGATGGCCGGGGGGCTCCTGCTTCCTGAGATCTTCCTTGAACTTGTCGGCAAGTGACAAGTCCGCGACCGGTAGTCGTTACATCACACCTGGGCATCAAGCATTCTTCGAGTATGACAGTGCCAGGTGATGATCGTGACTTTGAGCTCTTTAACGACTTCACTTTCACAGACGTCCACCGTTCCATTCTACCACAGAGGAGGGCACAGAAGCCTCTACTGTACAAGTGAACTTTCGAGGTCCGAAACGTCCAGAACATTGAGTTTCACGTCTGTGTGGGCGGTTCTGACCGTACAGGGTTTATTGTCGTTTCATTTATGCTTGAAGCTGGTTATGGACCACTTGGCATGATGCTTGCTGGGCGCTATTGGGCACTCCATGTGTCTTAAAGGAGGCAGACGCCAGTCACCAGGCGACAGTTTGTTTTCGGTTGTTTCCCTAGACGGTTTGCCCTTCATTTCGGAGATGGATTTGGATTGACTTGTGCCACCCAAACTTTGATGGCAGTCATTCACAGTCCAAACCCGTGTTTTTTGGGGTGTGTGTTGATCACTTCACATGCTAAGCAGTTCTTTCTTTTCCTGTTCACATGCTGCGCAAAGTGCCAAATGCAAAAACGTTTGTTAGTTTGTCATGTTTCAGGAGTTCCAAACCCAAAGCAAACCAGCCGGTTCTATTCGCAATCCAATCTCTCACACTGTTTGATCTCGTTCGATCTCATATCTACATCTGTGGGACCATGGCTGTTTCATCCACTTCTGCACGGAAAGTGTTTGTGTGTATGTGTGATAATTTCTTCCCTTTCGTAGTGTGTGGAGGGTGAAGCACATGGGTGACGAATCAATCAAGTTTGATTATGTTGTCCATGGCAGGCTCCGATGCAAAGCGGCTCCTGCCATCTCTGCCGGAACCAAAAGACAGGGCATGTGTCGAGAAGAAAACACATTTAAAAAACTAGAAAAGGCCTTGCTCCCGCTGCGTATGCCCTTGGCCAAGCAGAGGGGTTGTGAACTGATCAAGTGCTGACCAACATACAACTATCTAGAGTGGCTTTGTTGGGCCTTGCGGGTTTTGTGCAGTGGAGGAATCACCCGTGGCCGATTTCAAGGACAAAGGACGGCGCCGCCGGGCGCCACTGATTATAATACACCTATACATATATTTGACTCTGTTTGTTTGTTGTTCTTCCTGCAGCCTTGTGGATCCAGGAGTCGGGAATAGGGAATTGAGTTGAATAGTGCAAACAGTGGCAGCAGCAAGTCCACAAGATCACTCTCAGAATAGATGTTGCTGCAACGCGGGTAGCTGGGGCATAGGGTGTTGTTGAATTTGCCATGAGGACAAGTGTGGTTTCATTTGGCTATGGCTCATCTGGAGCAAGTGGCATGACAGAAGAACGATTTTGTGTTTTTTGCCGGAATTGATACTGTACGGACTGTATGTATTAAGAATGACCGACAGGTCTGCCTTCTCGCGGAATTAAGAGTAGGATAAAATAGGCCTGGCGAGAATAAGGCGGAGTATAGAGAGTAGTTGAAACTCTAGTTTGAACGCCTCACATGCTGTTTTCTTGCAAACTCAAGGCCAAACCAGTCATCCTGATGCTGAGCCACACGTCCTGCTCGGGAGGAAGATTGACATTTTGCACGAGTTTGTTGAGAAAAGCTTTCGGCGGCAGGCCAAATTATTGCGGATGGAGGTTCGCCGAAATCTTCGTGCCGCCAGGGAACCAGATCAAAACGAAGTTCCCATAGACTTGGACTTCGAGTTGCAGACAGACTTCAACTTTGAAGAAGTTGAAGCTGACAAAAAAGCTGCTGAAACAGAATCAGTGTCAGTACCGTTTGCAAGTAAAGAGGATCAGTTCCAAACTCCGCCGTCTTCTCCGCCAGCTTCCCCACGGCATCAACCCAGTAACGGTCCTTCGCGCCCATCAATGCGATCACACCAGAGCCGACCTAGCACCGTCGGTCAACACAGATCAAGCCTTGGAAGCGCGTTCACCACCTTCACAGGAACCTCTGGACGCCGGTCGCTGTTGAGCAGTGTTGGTGCCTCATGGAGATCTGGAAGCCGTCTCAGATTGAGCGGTGCCAGTGAACTTACTTCATCTACGATCCAGACAGGTCACAAGACTCTCCACAGTGTTGGGACTGAAGGGACAGCTCGAAGTCATCGAAGTCTTTGGAGCCTCCACACCAACCGGTCTAATCGCTCAAACACATCTAACCAAACAAGCAACCGCTCAGCCGATCGCAGTTGGGAGACTGGCCAAAGCTCACCGAGCTCACCAGACTCTTTTTTAAAGGAGCATTACGACCAGCACTTGGCCACCGCCCAAATTCAGGCTATGTGGATGACTCGTCGCAGGTTCTTTTCAGACACAAGTAGCAACAAAGAAAGGGGATGGCAGTCCTTTGCGGAAGAAATGATCGACTCAGCCATGTTCTCGTACATCCTTACCCCTTTGATTCTCCTTCATGTTATCCTCATGGGGGTAGAAGTGGATGTATATATTGCCAGTGGCCCTCTTGGAATGCCATCATGGATTAGCATTGTGAATTTGATCTTGGTGAGCCTCTTCATGTGCGAGTTGTTGCTGAAGTTTGCAGCACTGGGTTGCCGCAAGTTCTGGTGTGGCACGGATTGGGCATGGAATACCTTTGATGCCTGTGTGATCTCCTTGTCCGTTGCAGACGTGGCCCTTGATCTCCTGTTCACCGCATCGGTTCAAGCTGGCCAAGTGAGGGTTTTCCGCATGGTTCGCATTTTCCGCTATCTGCGGAGCATTCGAGTGGTTCGGCTTTTCCGCTACATAAGCGCTCTGCAGGTATTGATTTTGTCTATCATCGGGACCATGAGCTCGTTGCTACACTTTGTTCAACCGTTTGTTCTTGTTTTTTTTTGTGTGCTTGTTTGTCCGAGTTGCTTGTCCCTGGGTATTTTCAAGGGGGCTCTAGCCCTTAGATTTATTGATAGGCAAATTTTTTATCGAGATATGTCATCATCATTTGTTGGTCAGACCACAGGGTTCTAGACGCCTGACTCTTCTTCAAAAGATTTGGGTGTACAATGTAAGAATGTCAGTTCGCCTTGATTTCAGACATGCCATTCTTGATATTTGGCAGGATTACGGAATAGTTTTGCTCGTGATCAACTTCATTTGTTTGCTACCCCTTGTCAACCACGATCTTCCATACTGTCCATACCTTCCGCCCTGAATCTTCATGGTGCATTCGCTGTTCTGGCAGTCCTGGCTGCTGCCGAGATAAGAACACAAGCAATGCCAAGAACGCTCTCTCTCTGGCAAGTGGCATGAAAATGCCGAAACCACTCTGCTTATTTTTCGGTGTCAACTACTGAACTCTTTTCCATAACAAGCCCAACAGACTGCAAATGACTGCACATAAATCTGATTGGGACTCAGAGCATCCCGTGCCTTTTTGTCAGTGTGAAGCATGAAGACATTCCATGTCCAGTATCTTCACAGTGCGAGAGAAAAACGTCACATGTCACTTGAATATTGAGCGATGCGATGATCCTCCTTGACCTTGTTTGATCGAATCTGGTTCCATCACACCGCACCATTTTCAATAACTTAGGTGAACTGTCTCTCGAGATCTATTTTTCCAGGCCCTGAACTGTTGTTCTATGGCTCAACTCGCTGTGATGTTCATCCCCTTTGACTTCCGTAGAACGCCGTAGAACTCTGCCCCGTGACAAACACAATGAATGCAAATGACTGCACATAATTCGGATTGGGATTGAGGCTGGGCTTGAGGGAAACCACAGATGGGAATATTTGGAATCCCATCCTGCCACCCCCGGAGTCCTTCTTCTCCACTGTGGTGTCTGAAGTGCCCCAAAGGTCGAGGGTTTCAAGGGCAGTTGAAAAGATGGGCACTTCTTTAAAGATGTGAACGGAATTTAGATGAAACTGTTTCCTCTATTTACCTCTAGGTCCTCTAGAGCCCACACCTTCCCACCCTGATCAAACTTTGCAGCCGTGACAATTTGCGTGACGTCCTTGCCAGCAATTTTGCGTCCTGCATGCAAGTACCAACATGTCAGGCCATGTAGGTTGAACTGAGCTCCTTCTTCCTGCGTGGGCAAAAGCAATGTGTACTAGGTTTTTCTAAATCGTTGTCAAAGTCAAAGGATGGAATGCATTGGAACGCGCTTCTAAAGCCCATTTGTTTCAGATTTGAGGAGCAGTTATCAAAATCAACATGTTTGTTTATGACTTTTTGACGTTCAAGCAGGTGACTTTTGGAACATGTTGGAACCTCCAAAATCCATACAGAAGAACTCTGCATGAAAAGGAAGAATCTGAGGTCATTCAAATTTATCAGATTGTTCCCCAGATAGCGAAGCTATGGGGTTCTTACTTCAAGTAACCATGAGTTGCCCATGTGCGCTTTCAAGACAGGTTCCTGGTGCTGGGTGCCGGTGCTGGTGCTGGTGCTGCGAGCTGGCTGTCGAAGGTGGGTGGCGGGTGCCGGTGCTGGTGCTGTGAGCTGGCTGTGCACGTGGTGGAGACATGCTGGTGCTGGTGCTGGGTGTCGGTGCTGGCGCTGGGTGCTGGTGCCGTGGTGCTGGTGCTGGGTGCCGGGTGCAGGTGCTGGTGCTGGTGGTTGCTGGTGCTGGGTGCCGGGTGCCGGTGCTGGCGGTGCTGGTGCTGGGTGCCGGTGCTGGTGCTGGTGCTGGTGCTGTGAGCTGGCTGCGCGCGTGGTGGAGACAGGTTGCTGGTGCCGGTGCTGGTGCTGGGTGCCAGTGCTGGCGCTGGTGCTGTGAGCTGGCTGTGCGCGTGGTGGAGAAAGGTTGGTGGTGCCGGTGCTGGTGCTGGTGCTGTGAGCTGGCTGTGCACGTGGTGGGGACAGGTTGCTGGTGCCGGTGCTGGTGCTGCGTGCCGGTGCTGGTGCTGTGAGCTGGCTGTGCACGTGGTGGAGACAGCCGGTGCTGGCCGGGTGCCTGTGCCGGTGATGGTGCTGTGAGCGGGCTGCGCGTGGTGGAGACAGGTTGCTGGTGCCAGTGCTGGCGCTGGGTGCCGGTGCTGGTGCTGTCAAGGGCTGTACTGTTTGCGCGCATACTTTTGTACGTACACTGTACACTGTTCTATGCGCAACGTCAGGCTCTCAACCGACCATTGTTTCAGCATGCTTCAGCCTGCTACACACAAAAGAGTCGTGCTGGATACTGCTGGGCCTTGGGCGAGTGAAGCCTACGGGCTTTGCCTTTTGTGCGCGCTCTTTTGTGCGCATAAACTTATACGGGCAAGATCATACGGCCTTATCGTTCTACAGATCGTTGCTTCAAGCGTGCTACAAAGGCAATAGTGGCGCTGGATACTGGATACTGCTTGGCCTTGGGCCAATGACACTTACGGGCTTTGCTGTTTGCGCGCATACTTGTGTGCGCATAAACTTATACGCGCAAGAGCACACTAGGGATAGCTATGGGGTTCTTACTGCAAACTTAATAAGAATGAGCTGGCTGCGCGCGCTTTCGAAGGGGTGTCAGTGCTGGTGCTGGTGTGGTGGTCCTGGGTGCTGGTGGCTGAGCGCGCGTTTAAGACGGGCGGCGGTGCTGGTCGGGTGCTGGTGCCGCCCCCGTGTCAGCTGGCAAAGCGCACGTGCGCGCGCTGTGGAGGCGCCGTAAGCTGGCTGTGCGTGCAGGCTGTGTACATTCTTGTTCCAGCCAGTCGCATGTCAACAGGTCGTGGGATGCTGCATAGCTATCTGGGTCTATGCTGGTTTAGTTTTACTCAAGCTCTTCTACGTTGCACTATTCTCTGAATAGACAACGAAGACTGAGGTTGATCCAATTTCCTATCCTTCCCACTCTTCTCACCCTCCTTTGGCTGCATGCCTCCACCTGCAGTCCTTTTTAGATGTTCTCATCTCAGCCCTTCTCATTTCAATCTATATATATATATACCTTGTTACTGCTTGTTTCTCTTTTCAGTCTTCGCAACCTCAGACCAGTTGACTTCAGATGCCTCATGCTCCTACTAATATCACTTTTTTTGAGTTCAACGTTATTCTCATGGTTTTATCCAGATAAAACCATGGCCAGACCATTGTCATAAGCAATGGTATTTTTCCCCGAAAGCACCTGCGAAGGGTTCTCCGTCAAGAACGGCTGCCAACTTCAACTGTCCCACCACTATCATAATTATCATTAGCAGCAGCAGGCCTCATCCTCATCATCGCACAGGTGCGCAGATGCAGGTGGCGCGCCTGCTATAACAGATCTACATAGATACAGGTGTTTGGATACAGGTGTGTCGATACAAGTGTTTAGATACAGGTGTAGAGATACAGGTGAAGACACCTACAAAACTCACCTACACAACTACAACTTCGACATCTAGTCCCCTAAGGCGGAGGGTGTCCCGGCCAATGCTCACGACACGCGACCAAAGTGCGCCCCTGTCGCTGGAAATGAAGGTGGCCTCAGAAGTGGCAACTTTGTAATACAAATGTAGTGCAGTTGGCAGCTTCTCAGAACTGTGGCTTCAGAACTGGCAACTTTGTTTGCCTGACAACGTTCAGGTTGTGATTGACAGACTCGTTCATGGATGGTGCAACATGTTTCTGCGCAGGGCCTTTTCCTTTCGGCCCAATAGATCTTCAGCCTCAGAAGTGGCAACTTTCTAGCGCAAATGTAGTGGTTGTGGGCTGATTGACAACTTTCGGCCTCAAAACTAGCAAGTTTGCAGCGCGGGAAGCAGCTTTGAGAGCTCACGCTCGGAACTGGGGCGCCTGGCAAGCGGGAGGTGTCAATGTCAACGAGGCTTGGTGTTACATTGCTGTGACTGTGACGTCGCTGTGCCATGTGCATTGGTCCGGGCCTTGGTGAAAAGTGCTTGTGCGTGCGTTGAGGGGAACATGATGGTGTAGACGGGGTCACTGTGGAGCAGGATGGTTGGCGGTGTGACCGGGCTTGGTGTTTCATTGCTGTATCTAGTCTGTTGCACACCGCGTGGCGAAATTGCGCCTGCGGCGTCGCTCTGCCATGCGTTTTTGGCACGCGGTGGAAAGTGTGTTTGCGTGGCTCCGGGCCATTGGACAACGACCACGGCGATGATGGGATCCTGGAGTTGGAGATCCACAGGTTCATCGTCGTGACTGAAATATTCGTGCGCCCATATGGGTTCCTGTTCTAGCACCTGGCGCCCTGCTCTTTTTTGCTAGCTCAGTAGCGCTTGTTTCAAAGACACCATTCTAAAAGAACGTCGTGCTGTTGTGACTGCCACACTGCGTGAGACCCATGGCATGTTTATCACGCAGTTCTTTTGGGCCACCCTGTCGTCTAGGTTGCTTTTGAACGTGTATTCTTTCTTTTTTTCCCTATGTAGGCGGGGCATGGGGCTCGTGGGCACGAGTGAATCCCTCTGCATATCAGGTTGGCTTGGACGCTGGCCCTTCTGCTATTGATCATCTACAGCTTTGCGGTTGTCCTAACAGAACTAGTTGTCGAGCATTGCAGCACACTGATTCCTGGAAACAGCACAGAGTCTAGCTCTGTCGGGGGTCCCTTGGCCGGGTGCTCAGCACAATTGACCGACCACTGGGCAAATGTGGCAGAGAGTGGCGTAGCTGACCCTAGCAAGTATTTTGCCCGCTTCTTTTGTCTTGTTTCTATTTCCTGCTTTCGTTCACTTACCCTGTTTACGTTGTGATGGCGCAGCCGGTTCCGGTAGCTTACAACTTAATCGTCAGGCCGAACAAAGGACATAGCTTGGCCCCCACAAACTGAAGTCAAACTATAGGAAATTACTGGAGCGCTTGACTGCGGATTGCACTGCAAAGGTTCGACCGATTTTGACTTCTGAGTATATATTCCTTTTCACGCCTGAGTCCGTCAAGGTCAAGCACCTTTTTCATTCATTTGTTCCTAGCATAATCTGGGACGCCAAAACAGATTCAGTGGAAGAATAGTAAGGGTGAATACGCGTGATCAAGACAACTTCTGCACTCCAGAGCACACACACTCATGAGGGCACGCGAGCAAACCCACGAGAGCGCCAAGCAATGACAGCGCAGACATGAAAAACCGCACACGTGAGAGTACACATGTGAAGGCGTACATATGAAGGCAAAGGCCCAAAGGCATGAGCGCAGGTATGAGAGAGCACACATCAGGTTATCACCTACGTATGAGAACACACGTGCGAGAGCACACGCGAGAGCACGCAAATGAGAGAACACTGAGGACACATACGAGCACACACACACACGCACATGAAAAGAGTATACGAGCATACAATTGTGAGACAACACGACATGTGAGCAGACGCATGAGAACACAGGTGCGAAAGAGCTCGTGAACGAGAGCGCACACATAAGAGCACAGGCACAGACATGAGAGAACAAACATATGAGAGGGCACGTATATGTGAGCAAACCAAAAAGAGAACCGATGTGAGAGCACACACATGAAAGCGCGGGGGTGAGGCCACGCATGTGAGAGCACACACGCAAAAGCACACGCATGAGAGCGCGCGCCGAAAAGCACACATGTGAGCAAACGCGTGAGAGCGCGCACGCAAGAGCAAGCGCGTGAGAGCACGCAGATGACAGCACACGCATCAGAGCACACGTGAGAGCATATGAGAGCACGCACGTAAGACGTAAGAACACACATGCGAGAGCGCACATCTATCAGAGTACACGCATCAGAGCAAACATTGATCGCACACAGATGAGAGCAAACGCACGAGAGTGCACATGAGACCACACAGATGAGAGCACGGGTGTGAGCGAGCGCACACAATATAGCGCGCAATCAGGGCACTGCCCGGCCTGTCGGGAGATTATCTGCTTTTCGTCTCTTCGGCGGCAAGGCAAAAGGGCGCGTTTGCGCCCAGCATGTTCAATCGCTCGTTTTTTCTCTTCGAGCCTTCTTCATCCAGTCACTCATTGGGCCCATTGGGCCGTTGCGCTCAGTCACTCTTTCGCTGGCTCGTTAGACCAGCAAGAGCAGCCATGAGGGTTGAATGAATTCTTCAACAGTCAACCAACCAGTCAACACTCTTTCACAAAATTTTTGCCGAGAGGGTATTCTTGGAGCAGTCACTTGTGCACGCGGCTTGCCATACATGCACAGAGCTTGCCAACCAATTGAAGTTCTTTCCACCTTTAAGGTATGATGACGCTGTTCATGACCATATCCCAGGGCTTGAATTGGGAGGAATTGGTCACACCTCTCCGGGAGTTCTCCATCGTGCCGGTCGCTCTTCTTCTGCTGTATGTGGTGATAGCAATTTTTGCGATCCTCAATGTAGTTACCGGGGTTTTTTGCTGCTTGTTGGCACCAAGAGATGAATGAATGTAGGAGCTGTTTGGCGATTCAGCTGAGTTTTCGGTGTCACGTCCATGAAAAAAGCAAGGCAACACTGCCATAGACAGCGCCGGGGCAGACAAAGACGTACGAACGCTCAAGCAGATCCAAGCAAGGTCGCAACAGGCGCCATTGTTTGCATAAGTACTAGCGAAGGTGCGACGGGGGCGCAAGCTTGCCAGGTAGAGCTTTTGAAGCAAGTTTTCAGTGAGATTGACTTTGAGAAAGTGAACGAAATCAGCTTGGAGGCCGGTGATGACAACCTGTGCAGTTTTGGATTGTTTTGGCGCACATGTTTTCGCGCAGCCTAGCGCGTCTCAGGACATAAAGCGGTGCTTGGGCAACGACGATCTAGCCGACTTTTTGGAATCCATGGGCATCTCCACCGATGATGTTTGGACAGGGCTTTATGGGTTTCAAAAACAGAAGCACTGATATTATCTGATATCTATTACGCTTTAGCAGACTTCTATGGTTGTTTTTGTCGCTCGGCTTTCAGCGCCTCCCTTTTCAAGTGTGGAACGTATGATTGTTTTGCGCTGATCATGCTGTCGGACGGCTCACGGGTCTTCCACTTTCTTTTGGGTGTGTGAGGGTCGCTGATGCTTTACTGCAAATTCTATGGCGCTTGGGCAGGGTTCGACCCTACAGCTGGCCTAACTGGAGATGACACAAGCCCTGATGTCAGCTGCGCAGGCTGCTGCGCGAGCAGGCAACGCCGCAGCAAGCGCATCGTCGGCGTCTCCACAGACAGGAGGAGTTGTTAAGAAGGATTTGGCTAAGCTGATTCCACCCCTCAACTTTTGGTAGGAGGTGATTCAGTGGAAAGACTGGGGCTGGAGCGTGGAGCAATACCTAGTTGTGGTTGACAGTGGGTATCAGGATGAGATCGCGCAATGAGACTGTTGCACAGGACCATGTCATACCCCAGCTTCGGCTTCAACATGAAAGCACCCCTACTTCCACATATCCTCAAATTTGAGGCGCACTTCACCCATCTTGCTTTTGACACGGCCAACGCCAAATCAAATGAACTCTTGCAGTTTCCAATTCGAGGCCAATGCAACAGGACTATGGAGGACTAGCACCTATGGAGATCGACAGGGTGCAGAAAGGTGAGCGTGTGAGGCAAGCGTCTCCATCCACGACTACTGCTGTGAAGTCAGAAGTCAGTTCGCAGAGTTTCACAGCCAACAGTCTTTGATCTTCGGGACACAGACTTGGATGGCTCATTTCAAGTGGCGAGCATGCCGGAGGACAAGGTGCAGAGGAGCGTGGGGGAGGAAGACCTTCCTCAAGATTATTGGAGGAGTGGTCCCAGCACTACACCAGTCCTTCAGGATGTCAGGGCAAGCAGATCAAGGGTGAAGGATGCGGACATCATCTTGAGGACAGTTGGTCACATTTTGTGACGGGATGGCCAAGGCCGGTGTTTGAAAAATTGATTTCTTGAGGTTCCATTTGCGTTTCAGAACCATCGTTGAAAAAGGCCAAGTTCGCACATTGAGTGTCAAGTTGAACGGTCGGGCTTGAAGATGTTTGAAGTATCAGAAGGACAGTTTGGATGGCTAAAGAAAAGTGGTGTACGGGCTGGACTGCTTCAGTGACAACCTTCGTGGCTGTAGAAGGACCCAGTATGCAATTAGCAGGTGCTGACTCTAGAAAGAGTCTTCTGCGGCAGGCCAAGTACATCACATTCAGCAGCTCAGAAGGCACCACTTCCAAGCGGAAGCCCAGAGTCAGAAGGGAAGAAGCTCAAGCCAACCGTCAAAAAACAAGCCCATGATTTGGGAGGAACAACATCAGGCCCCAAGAGGCTGAAGGTTGCTTTTGACGAGGGGCACGGAGAGAAGAATAGAGGCAACCCAAGTGGAGGACAAGGTATACTACCACATGGATAACATCATCGGTGAGGGGGGGCTGTGGGCGCTTGAAAGGGAACGAGGAGATGAGGAAGATGAAGGTGAGGTCCCCGCAGCACGATGCTCAGAAGCCTCCTTGGCCGCGAGCTCGGCCAGATCCACCCGGATGGGTTGAAGACCTAGCAGCAGATGAAGTTGAGGTGAAGAGATTGCAACGTTTGGGGTGCCCTATCCCTACAGGACAGCTTGAGCACGGTATCAGAAGCCCCCAACCCGATTTGCGAGGGACTGGAGAGCAAAGCCCAATCCAGCTATCAAAGGTACACCTAAGATGTTGTTGAAGAGATCAAGGTTGGTGGCAAGAGAATACGCAACACATCGCCGAGACGATGTTCATAGCCCAGCGACAGGAGGACAGACCTTGAAGTTGTTACCAGCGGTGTACTTGTCCAAGAACATGGAGGAATAAGCAGGAGGAGTCCTCTATGACTCTATGTGTTGGGAGCTTTGGACCCAGCTCAAGTGAGTACTCCAAATTGCAATTTTTAGGTGAAGGGGGGCCCACGAAGTGGGGCGAAGATAGTGATTTACTCTCTTCCACACAAAACCTGGATGGGAAGGCTGGGAGAAAAGACGCGGCTTCTGATCCAGGTGGATGATTCATTTCCGGACATATGACAAATGACAGGACAGAGAAGGGTGTCAGGCAAGTATGCGGAGAGCGTGTCAACGGCCAGGCCCTTTCGAGCCTGTATAGATCCCTAGTCGCGTGAATCACAGGAACGTCCAATGTTTCCTTCACCATGAAATAATTGCGTTAATCAGTGACATGCCCAACAAAACTCGAAAAATTCAGCGGGTACCTCAAGCGCGCATTAGGCCAGTATCTGGTGATGGAGAGCCAGATGGCTGACATGGACTTCTTGAAGCCTACACCGACAGTGACTGGTCGGTCGGAAGAGGCACTGAAGATCAACCTATCCATATGGTGAATGGCTTCTTGGTGCTAGGAATAGCACGGGGACAAAAGTTGGTGAGCTTGAGTTCCGCACAGGCAGGTGGCTGAAGAAGTGTTTGGGGTTTTCTGTGATATGGAGAATGGAAGAGAGCAGAATCAGCCAAGGAAAGATACAGCGTTTGGCAAAGCTGTTCACAGACCTTTCCTAAGCAGGTGGGCGTCTACGTGCTGTCGAGGAAAGCGAGGTTGGAGAAAATCTTTGAGGAAGTGAAGGACGACCAGAAGGTGGACGGCAGGATGATTGGGGCCATGTGGGGCCTATGGCCATGAGATGAAACAAGAGGTGACCAGAGGTGAGAACTGCGCACAAAGCGTATTCAAAAAGGTCTGTCGATGACACAGCGTTTGAGAAAGGAGATTGTGAGCGTTGGCATTACCTGGAGTGGACGAACAAGGATTTCGACCCTCGGGATTCCAGTTGCCTTCTACTTGCAGAGACGCAGCAATGCCAGATGCAATTAAACAAGGGGAGCCTGGGTCACATGGCAATGCAGCGGTGAACCGCGGTGAGAGAACAGAGAATCGAAGATCCCACAATGAGCCGGCCCACCAGCGGCTGGATTCCTGATGAAGATCGTATTGCCATTGAGAGTTTGGGCAGGCCAGCATGAAGATCTGGTTTGAGAGTCAATCAATACATTTTGAAGTTGTAATGTTTTTGGGAAGACGCTAACCGGAATACGTATGAAGTGAAGGTCCAAAGATGTTAAAGGGCTGCCATGGATAGCCCAGAACTTCCTTTCCAGGGTTGATCTCAAAGGAGGAGCGCATAATACATGAAGCCAGGTGACACGCGCAAATCCGAAGCGCGCATCTTGAACTGAAGGCCTTAGTTTCAGTAAAAGTCCGCACCGTTCCTTCTTCGCTCTCGCCCTTTCCTTTCGGGGCCTCTTGTGAAGTCGCTCTTCCTCTGCCTCCGCTTCCGCCCCTGAAATACCGAGCCTCTTCATCATCTCCCCTAGCGCTCCTCTTCGAGTCGTCTTCACAGGGTTCTTCCTTGCTGGTCTTGAACGAGGAGCTGGTCAAAGCCTTGTAGCTTGGACGACGGTTGCCCGCTTTTACCGCCATACGAAGCAAGGCGTTTTGAACAGCTGCATCGTCCAAATTCCCGCGACACAAGAAAATGCCACGGCATGGGGGTCGTGCTTCTCATTTAGGTGAACTGCAATCTGACACGCCAGATCCCAGCAAGGTTGCGCTCGCAGCTGCTTGATCGTGGGGTCAGCCTGTAAGATGGCTACAGCTGTGACAGTGGGGCTGGTTGAGCCCTAGGCCCTATAATGTCAACCTCCAATTAGGCAACCCCCCCTATTAGTCTACCCAGCGTTCAGGCCCCAATAATAAACTAATTTGAACTATCAGTCACCACCCTCTAATAAAAATTTTGCTTGGCTGAAATCCCCCCTATTAGTCTACCCCCTCTCCCACCAGGAAAAATATAATTGCTTAAATATATATATATATGTGTGTGTGTGTAATTAGTTTTGTTCTTTTTGCCTTTTCAATATCTTTTGGTCCATGGTGAAACTGATCTTCTGATCCCCACTATTAGGGGGATGTGATCTCAACCTCAGACCTTGTTGACCTTCTAGGGGGGGGAGGGGGGGGCGTTGATTAATTGGACGTCTACATTACAAACTGAACCTGGTGATCTATAGGCATTGCGAAGCGCAAGAGAGGGTTGACAAGTTTTTTCCCCACCTGCCAGGTGAGGGTTGTTAGATTTTATCACAGTTGTTCTTCCTCCTCCGCCTCCGCCGCCTCCTCGTCCTCCTCCTTCCTCCTTCCTCCTTGCTTCCTTCCTCGCCAATCTTCATCGCCAATCTGCTTCGCCGATCTTGTCTGGCCAGCTCCGGATCGCAGTGTACACCCCTGGACCTCAACCGCAAGGATCCCCTCGCAGTGTGCACCCCTGGACCTCAACCGCAAGGATCCGATCGCAGTGTGCATCCCTGGACCTCAACCGCAAGGATCCGATCGCAGTGCACGCCTGGACCTCAACCGCAAGGATCCGATCGCAGTGTGCACCGCTGGACC